AGTAGTAGTAGTAGTAGTAGTAGTAGTAGTAGTAGTAGTAGTAGTAGAAGGGACTGGGTTTCACCATGTTAGCCAGGCTGGTCTTAAACTCCTGACCTCAGGTGATCTGCCTGCCTCGGCCTCCCGAAGTGAGGGACCATGCCTGGCCCAGCTTCTTGAAGAGATTTTTATCTGTTTTGTTCATGCTATGTCCCTAGCACCCAGATCCATCCCCAGGACATGCTAGGAGATCATCACGTCAACATGTCCTGGGTGGAACACATGAAAACGTCCTGCTTACCTGGTTTCATTTTTCATCCTCCAGCCATCCCGACACTTGCGAAACCAGAGCTCCCGGCCTGGGGATATGCTGGTGTTCTCAGGGTCTTCTGCACAAAATGTCAGTCTAGGAAGGAAAAGAAACCATTGATGTAGCCAGAACTTTAGGGGGAATCCAGCTGTGCTTTCTGGATTCAAGGCAGACGGGTGAGGAGGCAGGGGTGAAATTTTCATGCCATGCCCTGACTCAAAAGCCTTCAGAATTCCCCATTGCTACTGCAGGGACTCTAAACTGTGTCTCACGTTGAAGCTTCCATGATTCAGCCTCATGCAGCCTCAGCCAGACCTCTCCCACCTGCTTCCCTCTGTCTATCCAAAAGGCCACCTGCCTGTCAAGGCCATAGCATCTCAGAAGCCTCCCTGACTGTTTGAGCCCTCATTAACCTAATCCTCCCTTGGCCTTTCAACTGGTTACAAAGTATGTCCTTATATAAATATTGCTTTTGTTAGTGTTGCTACTTCTTGCAACATAGAGTTAAAAAAAAAAAAAAAAAACACGTTTTATTTTAAAACCTTATGCCCTATGTGAAATTGCTTGCTGATTTCGGTTGACTCCTCCACTAGACCGTAAACTTGAACGGAGTGATTCAAAGTACCTCTAGTCCAGTGCTCTGTAAATATCCATTGGCAAGAGCAACTGCAACTCAGCTGCAAGTCAAAATCAAAGACTCAGCAAATGGACAACCAAGACTCACAAGAAAGAATCAGGGCCTAATAACCATTTCCCTGTAACTTACCGCTGCCCCACGCAGCCTCGGGGGCGTGTGAGTAACGTGACCACGTAATCCTTAAGTGTGTGGGGCACCTGACCCTGGAGCTGAGGCAGGACAAAAGCCCCATTCATAACAGTTTAAGAACGTTTCCCAGGAAGCCCTAAGGACCTTAGGACCTATATGTTTAAACACATATAAAAACATGACCTATCTCACGCACAATCAGGAAATGCAAATTCAAACAACAGCAGGGGGCCCATTCACACCTAACAAAATGACAAGAACGTCCCACCAGACATGGATGAAAAGGAGGGAAAAGGGAACTCTTCATCCATAGTTAAGATGGAAAATTAGTTCAACCACTTTGGAGACAGATTTAATAATATCCGTTCCGGCTGGAGAATGCATATACTACAACCCAGCAATTCCACTTTTTAGAACACATGCTGAAGAACAGCCCTTACACACAGGTGCACAAGGAAAGTGCAGAGGATGTTCATCTCAGCACCATTTGTAACTACAAAAAATCAATAACAACTTAACTTATTCAGCAGAACAATGGCAAAACTATTTGTGCAATGGTGATTTACATACAGAGTTAAACAAGAATAGATTAGATCTTTATGTTTTGGATAAACTTCACAAACAATATTAGAATGAAAAAATCAAATTGTAAAATATTATGTCCACTCATGTAAAATTCAGAAGCATCCAAAACAATTCCATGCATTGTTTATGTATACAAACAGAAGCACTAAGGGGGCCGGGCGCGGTGGCTCACACCCGTAATCCCAGCACTTTGGGAGGCCGAGGCAGGCAGATCACCTGAGGTCAGGAGTTTGAAACCAGCCTGGCCAACATGGCGAAACCCCATCTTTACTAAAAATACAAAAATTAGCTGGGCATGGTGGCACACACTTGTAATCCCAGCTACTCAGAAGGCTGAGGCAGGAGAATCACTTGAATCCGGGAGGCAGAGTTTGCAGTGAGCCAAGATTGTGCCACTGTACTCCAGCCTGGACAACAGAGCAAGACTCAGTCTCAAAAGAAAAAAAAAAAGTACTAATGGTATAAACACATGATGGAAGGAAACACACTAACATTTGTTAATATTGAAATATTAGTTATATTTGGTTTGAAAGAAGCAGGGTAGAGCAGAGAAGGACACAGGGGCTTCAACTGTATCTATGGTTTACTTTTAAAAATCTTATATCTAAACCCATATGGAAAACTATTTATATTTTTAAGTCTCAATGGTGATTTAATAGTTGTTTATTTTATTTGAAATATTTTATTTATAAGTGATCATCTTCCTGCTATCACACCCATAGGTATAGTTTGCACCTGCAAGGGCCAAGAGAAGTAAAAAGATACGCAGTCTAGACCACCCCCAGTTCACAGGTTTCTAGACTAGAATCATTCAGCTGAGGGCTCCAAGCCTCCACTTCACTTCCCTCTGCTGCCAAGCTGTGCCACAGATGATGAATGTAAACCAGACATGGCAGGAATTATAATGGAGAAAATGCCAGAGGAGGGACAAAGAGGGAGGCAGTTGCCTCCTCCCATGCCAAGGCTGGCAGTGACCTCTCTAGAGGTCAGCTGAAGGACTTGGTTAAAGAAACTCTCCCTTCTTGACAAAGATCTCGCAGGCTTCCCTGGCTTCTGTTTAGAAAGAAGCCTGCTCAGGGAGTCAAGGCACGGTGTTAGGAGCTGATAGAAAGGTCTGGATCTTTTATGCTAGGCTTGGGGTTAAAAGAAATGGGAAACTGCCAGCTAGCATGGCACAGAGGATTCTCTGTGACTTGCAGTTAGGACCACAGCCCCACATCCTTGACTTAGAACCTCTGAAGGAGAGAGTTAATGATGCTCTGAAAATCAGATGCTGGGGAAAACCAGCTCCTCCCACAGATCTCATCCATGGGGGCTCCCTGGACGTGATACTCCAGTCTGCTCTGGTCAGAAGCAAGCAAAGCCTTTTGTCTGCATGGACCCCACAGTAAACAGATCAACAAGGCAGCACTCCTAAAAAGCCCGGACCAAGAGAAGTCCCCCTCCTCCAGGCTGACACAGGGCCTGGCAAACAGGGCCAGGGCTGAATTCCCGCCGCCACCGGCCCACCCCTCTCCCCGAGGGCCTATGTTCAGGGCATGTGATGCGTAACAGTTGATAGAAGGCTTGATCTGGAAGTCACTTGTCCTTGCAAAGGTGTTTGAGGTTTTACCTGCATGCTGGAGGGAAGGATTGAGGGTGGATGCAGCAAAGGAAAGGAAATGGCAGAGGCACGGCCTTCTGTTCCCCACCTACACCAGGCAGAAGAAGGAGCAGGAGGCACTTACTTCCGCTGGGTTTCCCCAGACTTCACCCGGATGCGCCTGATATTCAGCTCCCGTCCGGGGTTGTGGGGTTGAGACAGGTAGCTGCGAAGCTCCTTCCACAGGTTGTACCAAGACTGAGAGGCCCCCTCCCAGGTGAGCTGGATTTTCAAGAGGTCTCCCAAGTCCTCCTCGGTGTAGACCAGGAAGGTGTTGGTGGCATTCTGCTCAATCCGCTCCACTCTACAAGTTGGAGAGAAGCTGATCTCACTCCCCGGACAGCTAGAAAACTGCCACACTGTGTGGGGTGACACAGTGGCAGGAACAACCCCACACAGACAGGAGAGAGACAGTGTGAGTCCTTCCCCCACCTCTAACCCTCCACCTCCCACCGGCAGGACCAAGATGGAAGCTTGGGTGTACTCCACATGGGCTGAACTAACTTTGCCCACAGCACTCCAGCTTCTAATCAAAACCATTCCTGGGCACCCCCTCCACCCTACTTATGCTACTTCCTGAAAATACAGAACCAAGAAAGAACACAATAAGAAAACACAAAGAAGTCACATCCCCACTCAAGTGCGTTGTTCCGCTCAGCCCACAGGCATCTGTCTCCCCCGAACTCCTAGCTGCTTCCTGTCTGTCCCTCTCATTTGGCTTGGCCTCGTCTGCCTTGCCCCATCTGTGTGTAAGTATGTATGTGCATGTACAAACCTGGTCTCCCAGCTAGACCCTGAGCCCTGAAAAGTGAGCTACTTTGATGATGTTTCATCACAATCCCATTACTTGGCATGACGCTTTGTCCCTGGTGGATACTCAACAAATATATACAGATCGCTATGCACCCCTCCCATAGCCACATCATTAGGAAAGGTCCAGGGATGACGTTTATGAAATTCCAGACTGCCTGAAGCCTCATCAGGCATTGCCTGGAATGAAACAGCAGTTTCTGCCCAGCTGATCCAGCCGCTGATCTAGCAGCTTCTCATGATGCTGATTCATCCCAGGAACTTTCCTCCCTGAAACGCTGAGTCAGAGCTTGGTAGAGAAGGTGCAGCAGGAGGACTGCAGAGGCCAGCCAGACCACCTGGCTCCTCCCCAAGTAGTCGGACTCCACTCTCCTGCATGCTGCACTTGTTCACATGCTCCCTTGTGCTCTCTCATTCTCAAACCAATCTGTTCTCTATCCCAAACCCAGCAAGGGAAACTGATGACTTACATTTCCAGTGGCAGAGTCTGGGAATCTGCATTAGTGCCATAAAGGGTAACATAAAAGGTGGGCTCAATTTCTCCCATGTTCTTGTAACTGAAGACATGGATTTTCATCTGATAATGGTAAACTGCAGAGACAGCAGAACAAAGATGCTTGTAACCCTTGCTTGTCATCACAGGACACCCCGACCCAAACTGAGTCACCCAGCACACAGATTTTAGGGCTGGTGTTCTTTTGGTTGAGCCCAACCTGCAGCTCCCATCTGCTCTTGTTCTGTCCAATGCCATAAGAGGCCACTGCAGTCTAGAAGAAGGAGCCCTGTGCTTGGGGGTTAGATCTTTTGAGGATTTTCATTTAGCTACTTTCTAACTACATGCCCCTGAATTAAGGACCAAGGTATTAACCTCTCTGAGCCTCAACCTCCTCACAGTAAAATAATACCCACTGTACCCAGAAAACCTTGTGATTTTGCAGTGCACTATAAAAATGTAACATGTCATTTTGGTTCACTGTTCATCTGCCTTATGTTTCTCGTGATGATCAAATGAGAAAACAAATATGAAACAGCTTTGAAAGTTAAATGCAAAAAAAAAGAAAGTTAAATGCAAGATAAAAATTTAAGATACTGATATTGTGATCATGGACTGATAGCCACATCACAAAAGGGGTCCCCACTGTTTATTTTGTAAAGATTCCCTTTCCTAGGACATGCACAGTGTAATCTGATTTGCAATGATTTGATTGAATTGCACTGGCCACTTCTCCTGGGCTAGGACGTGCCCTGCTCTGCAGCATGGTATTAAGAAGGAGGTATAAGGGCCTTCCTCAGGGATGCTTCAGGGACTGAAGGTTACCTCTGAAAGGCATGCCTGCCCGGGTTTTTAGATACATTTTGCTGTTCCTCTTGTTCCTCATTTTCTTGGCATTGTAGCCAATGCTATTACAACGGTTCTTGCGGCAGCTCAGACAGATCCCCTTCTTGAAGCGATTGGAGTCAGTGCACTGGAAGGCAAAGCTTGGCTTGTCTTGATTCACCAGAGAGTCAACAAAGAGGTGGACGGCCCGCTCATGCTCACATTTTACCACCTCTGTGATTGCTAGGGGTGGGAGAGACAGAAAGCATGCAGGATGAGCTTTTCTCGACGACTGGACACTCAAACAATAAATACTGTAATCCTCATCAGTGATAGCTGTTCATTGTCGCTGTTAGTATTTTCATGTAATTCTTTTGCTTGTTTGTTTGTTTTGAGGCAGGGTCTCACTCTGTTGCTCAGGCTAGAGTGCAGTGGGATAATCATGACTCACCGCTCACAGCAGCCTCAACCTCCGAGGTTCAGGTGATCCTCTCACCTCAGCCTCCCCAGTATCTGGGACTACAGGCACATGACCACCACACCTGGCTAATTTTTGTAGTTTTTGTAGATACGGGGTTTCACCACATTGCCCAGGCTGGTCTTGAACTCCTGGACTCAAGCAATCTTCCCACCTTCACCTCCTAAAGTGCCAGGATTACAGATGTGAGCCCTTGCACCCAGCCTGTGTAATGCTTAATTAATGTCCAGGAAGGTGCTAGGCTCCCATTAAGATGTAGAAGAATTTAAGGCCATTCCTGCTGCCTAACTGTTCACTCTCTTGGTGGGAAGACAGCACGAATACACACAAAGCAATAAAGAGCAAGAAAGCCCATATAATAAGTGCTAAGTAGAGTGATGCAGACCAGCTGTGCAGCAGGAGTCACTACCTCCCAATAGGGCTATACAGCCACAGAATGCTGCAAATGGATGAGATCCTAAACATCTCATGCAGGGCTCAGCAAAATATGACTTGCAGGCTGGCTACCTCTTTTTTTTTTTTTTTTTGCTTTGTTTTGTTTTTGTTTTATAGACAGTGTCTCATTATGTGGCCTGGGCTGGCCTCAAACTCCTGGGCTCAAGTGATCCTCACCTGGGCCCAAGCAGTCGTCCTGCCTCAGTCTCACAAATAGGTGGAACTACAGGTGCACCACATCATGCCTGCTGGCTACCTGTTTTTGTAAATAGAGTTTTATTGGAATAGTTATTCTCATTTGTTTATGTATTATTGTGGCTACTTTCATGCTACATCAACAGAGTTGGAACAGAGGCAATACGGCCCGCAAAGCCTAAAACATTTACTAGCTGATGCTTTAAGAAGATGTTTACCAACTCCATTCTAGTCCAACGGCTTCAATTAAAGATTATGACCCAAAGGTCCATAGGGGTGAGGTAATCTGCTCAGGGTCTTACAGACAGTTGGTTACAAAGTTAGGCATACAATTTGGATTTTCTGGCCCAAATAATTTCTGGAATCTTATGAAAAATTTGGCAAAGCCACCCCCAACCCTGCCTCAATGGCACCAGCAGCCTTAAGAAATGCCATCATCTAGCCGGGCGTGGTGGCTCATGCCTGTAATTGTGAGGGAGGCCAAGGCGGGTGGATCACCTGAGGACAGGAGTTCGAGACCAGCCTGGCCAAAATGGAGAAACCCCATCTCTACTAAAAATACAAAAAATTGGGGCCGGGCGCAGTTGCTCACGCCTGTAATCCCAGCACTTTGGGAAGCCGAGGCAGGCAGATCATCTGAGGTCAGGAGTTCAAGACCAGCCTGACCAACATGGAAAAATCCCATCTCTACTAAAAATACAAAAAATTAGCTGGCTGTTGTGGTGCGTGCCTGTAATCCCAGCTACTCAGGATGCTGAGGCAGGATAATCACTTGAACCTGGGAGGCAGAGGTTGCAATGAGCGAGATCATTCCATTGCACTCCAGCCTAGGCAACAAGAGCAAAAGTACGTCTCAAAAAAAAAAAATACAAAAAATTAACGGCATGGTGGTGGGCACCTGTAGTCCCAGTTACTTGGGAGGCTGAGGCAGAGAATCACTTGAACCTGGGAAGTGGAGGTTGCAGTGAGCAGAGACTGCACCATTGCACTCCAGCCTGGGCAACAAGAGCGAAACTCCATCTCAAAAAAAAAAAAAAAAAAAAGAAAGAAAGAAAAGAAGAAAAGAAAAGAAAAAGAAGCCATCATCCTATATTCTGAGGAGGGAGTAAACTCCCCTTGCATGGACCTCCAAACCCTGCAGAGCTACTTGGATTAAACTAGGACAGGGGAACACTGAGCAACAGAGCAGGACATGTGGAGGGCAGAGCATCAGAGTGGAGGGAGCTGCCTGGGGTCAAGACAGGAAATGCTGTCAGCAGCCAAGGCAGTAAAAGGATAAGAAATCCCCCAAAATTGGTCACTGCCCTACACCTCAGTTTTAGCAAATTCAGTTCAGCCCAAATCTGCTGAGAACAGGCTCAAGCATTCAGAAGATAAATTTTGGAGCCAGGTGTGGTGGCTTGCGCCCGTAATCTCAGGCTGAGGCAGGAGGATTGCTTGTTTCCAGCCGGGGAAACATAGTGAGGAAGAAGGAGAAGAAGAAGAAAAATGTTAAGTGAATGGAAAAAATTTAAGTGAAATGGTTTTGCTTCTTTAAAATGTTACCAAAAATTCAAATAGAGTGCATCCATGCTATGGAATATTATACAGCCTGTAAAAATATTGTTAGTAAATCTGTGTGCTCTGATATTTAAGAATGTCCATAAAGCAAGATGCAATGGCACATGTCTGTAGTCTCAGCTATTTGGGAGGCTGAGGCAGGGGGATAGCTTGAGCCCAGGAGTTCAAGGCTGTAGTAAGCTGTGAATAGCCACTGCACTCTAGCTTGGGTAACATAGCAAGATTCTGGCTGGGTGCAGTGGCTCACACCTGTAATCCCAGCACTTTGGGAGGCCGAGGCAGGTGGATCACCTGAGGTCAGGAGTTCGAGACCAGCCTAGCTAACATGGTGAAACTCCATCTCTACTAAAAATATAAAAAATTAGCCGGGCATGGTGGTGGGTGCCTATGATCCCAGCTACTGGGGCTGAGACAGGAGAATTGCCTGAATCTGGGAGGCAGAAGTTGTAGTGAGCTGAGATCACGCTACTGAACTCCAGCCTAGGCAACAAGAGCAAAACTCAGTCTCAAAAAAAAAAAAAAAAAAAGCAAGATTCTGTCTTTAAAAAAAAAGAAAAAGAATATCCATAACATATTATTACAGGAAAAAAAGAAAGTTGAAAAAAATTAAAATTAAAATAAAGTTGCAGAACAATGTGATTTGGGGGAAAATATGCATGCAACTAATTTGCAAAAAAAAAAGACTAGAAGGATACACACAAAAGCATTTATACTGGCTACATCTGAAGAGTGGAAGTAGGGGTGGGAGTGGGAGTGCACTTTTGCTTTATGCAAGTCTATAATGCTTGATTTCTATTTCAACAAATGTGTGTATTCTTTTTTGTCATAAAAAGAAATTAATCAGCCAGGCACGGTGGCTCATGCTGTAATCTCAACACTTAGGGAGGCTGAGGCAGGTGGATCACCTGAGGTCAAGAGTTTAAAACCAGCCTGGCCAACGTGGTGAAAACCCATCTCTACTAAAAATACAAAATTAGCCAGGCATGGTGGTGTGCGCCTATAGTCCCAGCTACTTGGGAGGCTGAGGCAGGAGAATCACTTGAACCAGGGAGGTGGAGGTTGCAGTGAGCCGAGGACTGTACCATTGCACTCTAGCCTGGGCAACAAGAGCAAAACTCCCTCTCAAAAACAATGAAGAAAAAAAAGAAAAGAAATTAATCAATTAATAACTGTGACCTTAAAGCATGGGAAAGTAGAGCAGGAACCACTGGGTCAGTTAGTCTTGGAGGACAACGAGAAACATTAAACACAGTGTTGGAGGCCTCTGTGGCAAGAGATGAGAATAGTGAACACGTAGTGCCTGTAGCGCTAAAGGCTCGGCTGATTTAGAAGGAGATGGGATAAACTGAGTCAAACACAAAGCAGAAAACAGGGAACTCACTTCCATATGCCATTGATCCCAAGACATCGTTGAGTCCACAGCCTGGCTGGAAGTCACCCCCATTGGGGTAGATGTCAATGTGGCCCACAGGCATCTGAATACCAATGCTCAAGCCGAAGGAACGCGTGTAGGTGTGGAGGACATCCACAAAATCTGCATCGTCAGGAGACAGCCTCTTGTGGATGTCAGCCCCTTCAAACATGGGCCCGGCAGGATCCAAACCTGCAGCAGAACAAGGCCCCAAAACAGCTCTGTCAGGTACACAAAGTCAGTGAGTCCTGATTACAAGTTAAGCCTGGGTGTGCAGAATGAAGAAGATGCCTTCTGAATCTAGCTGGGAGCATCAAGATGTGGAAAGCACGGAAGAAAGTAAGAAACCCATTTCCATATGCAAGTGATCCCAAGACATCATTGTGGAAATTAAATCCTATTGTTATGGAATTTATACTTTCTTCTGAAGCCTTCATGTATCCCGACACCTCAACCAAACCCCGTAAACTAGCTATAAGGTTCACGCTGCCACACAGCTCCAAGGAACTGCTCCTGTTAAAACTGAAGCAGTTCTAGAAAGAACTCAGACTGCCTAAAACTAAGCCATTTGTCCCATTCATTCTGCCACTGAGCACCTTTCACGTCCTTAATTTTAGCAGAATTTTTACAGAATGACTAAGCTGCCTACATCCCTCTGGAGGTAGAATCCAGTCTCCCTAAACTGAGCTATTTGTATCTGAACTTATTCTTCCCCTTCCTTTAGTTATGAGTCAGGCCCAGGGGTGGAATGGTGAGAGAGAAGAGGACACCCAACACACTGAGAATCCATACATCAGGCCTCCAGAATTCCTCTATTTTGCAGCCACAATGAGAAAATCTTTCTTTCTGCCTCCAAACGTTTTGTGTTGAGCAGGCAAGCGGCACTGTTGAGAGCACTGGTTCATATTTGAAACTGGGAGCTTGTTAAATTTAAATTCTACCATACAGCTACAAAAAATTCTGGAAGGTCACACAAGCAACTAGTTACCCGTATGCATGTGCACTGGGGAGAGGGTGGGTAAGGGAAATGGACAGATAGCAGAGCAGTAAGAGAGACTTTTCACCATCTTTTGATTTGAAAACTGCATTAACGTAAAACCGTTCCAAAAAAGAACTTGCAAAGTATAAAATGCAGATTCACAAGTCCCTGAACTCCTAGAGATTCTAGTGGGTAGTTACGAATTATGGCTCCTAGAAATAGATATTCATTCCCCAGATGATCCTAAAAGTAGGTATGCTGTGGGCAAAATATTTAAAAACTTCCCTGTGTTTCACTAGCATTTATAAAATAGAACCTGAATTTATACCTAAATTCATACAGTCCATGTGAGATCTTAAGAGACTGAGTTCCCATCAGTATTAGCTACTACTACCAAGCCCAAGTGATTATGGGAACCACATTTAACCCAACCAGAATGCATCTTTGCCTCACAGACACACAGGAAGGACCTGGAGAAAGTTAAGAGATGAAATGTGCCAGAAAGGAAGGGCCGCTGGAACAGAGGTTCACCACTACAAGTGGCTTTGCCCCCCAGGGGACATCTGGCAAAGCCTGGAGACCTTTTTGTTGCCCCCATTCTGATGGAGAGAGTTGCTAGCATCTAGCAGCGCCAGGCCAGGAATACAGATAAAACATTCTACAGTACACAAGTCAATCCACCCCCAACACACACACACACACACACACACACACCCCACACCAAAACCTTACCTGGCCCCAAATGTCAATATTGCCTAGGCTGAGAAACCCTGACCTCAAAACACCAAGGCTGGGAGGGCATGTGACCAATGAGAGTCCTGAAAGGAGGACATGGGTAACAACCATGTTCACCAGACCCCAGCACATTAGAACCAGGGAGCCTATCAGGAGACTTGAGATGGCAGCTTCAGGATAAACAAGAGGCAGAGCTACTGTCTAGAGTGGACGGTCAACTTGCAGAACTCTACTCATAAGAGAACTGGTAGAGGCTGAAACATTAAATAGTTTCCACAAATTTAAATAACTTTTTTTTTTTTTTTTTTTTTTTGGAGACGGAATCTCGCTCTGCCACCCAGGCTAGAGTGCAGGGGCGCGATCTTGGCTTACTGCAGCCTCCACCTCCTGGGTTCAAGCAATTCTCCTGCCTCAGCCTCCTGAGTAGCTGGGATTACAGGTGCGAGCCACCGCGTCCAGCCAAGTTTAGATAACTTTATGTGTGACCAAGACAGAAAAGGAGCCCAGGCTGCTTGAGGGTTTATCCCTAGCCCAGGACCCAAAATAAAGATGGCACAAAAGCAGCATCCTCCCACAATAACCAACGACTACCCGTTTCAGAGGCCGCAAGGACCACAGTACTGACACAGCAGCCTCTCCCTGTGTCCCCTGGAGGAAAGAGAAAGAGAGAGCAACATTCTGCTTTGCAATCAATACAAGAGAGAGGCTCTTTACTCGGTGTGAACAAAGGTCCCCACCAGACGGTCAGTGCCATGGAAACCAGGCTGTACTGGAGGAATGTGGGCAGCTGACAGGGTTTCACAGTCTGGTTGGCAGCAAGGCTGGGCCTTCACCTCCCCAGCCAGAGCCTGCCTGCCCTGCTTTGACTGTCCCTGACACATATCTATGGCCCACCGATTCAGGGGCGCAGTGGCACATTTAACTTTTTTAACTAGGAATGAATGACCAGGAGAACTGCCTCCTTAAATAAAGGGGAGATAGAGAGCTCCCGCTTCTTCCATTCAGTCATAGATTCCTCAAAGTTGCTTTGTCCAGCAAATGGAGCACACACACATGCATGCATGCAAAACTTCCAGGGCTGTGCATTCTGGCCTGGCAGGGCAGGGCCTGCTGTAGTTCAACAGCTACTTATTTTTTTTAAGACAGGGTCTCACTCTGTTGCCCAGGCTGGAGTGCAGTGGCCCAAACTCAGTTCACTGCAACCTCCACCTCCTGGGCTCAGGTGATCCTCCCACCTCAGCCTCCCAAGTAGCTAGGATTATAGGCATGCACCACCATGCCTGGCCACTTTATCTCTGTCTGCAGAAGAAAGGCAGCATGGCATAGCAGTGAGGTGCATGGGATCCGGAATCTGACAGCATGGGTTGGAGTCCCAGTTCTGCTACTTATAGGGCCCAGGATATTGGGCCCTTTACTCACTGAGTCCTAGTTTCCCCCTCTGTAGAATGTTCAGAGTTGCTATGTGGCTCAGAGATAGCACAAAGCAGCTGTCATACATGAGGTTTTGTTTGTTTGTTTGTTTGTTTGTTTGTTTTTTGCTTTTTTTTTTTTTTTTTTGAGATGGAGTCTCACTCTTGTCACCCAACCTGGAGTGCAATGGCGCGATCTCAGCCCACTGCAACCTCCTCCTCCTGGGTTCAAGCGATTCTCCTGCTTCGGCCTCCTGAGTAGCTGGGATTATAGGCGCCCACCACTACACCCAGCTAATTTTTGTACTTTTAGTAGAGACGAGGTTTCATCATATTGGCCAGGCTGGTCTTGAACTCCAGACCTCAGGTGATTCACCCAACTCGGCCTCCCAAAGTGCTGAGGTTACAGGCGTGAGCCATCGCGCCCAGCCACACATGACGTATTTAACGTTAGCTAGCATCTAGCCTGCACACATGGATGCATTTCTTGAATACATTCATCTGCTTGCTTACCTGATTATAGCTAACAAGGCACAGGTTCAATTATACATATATGACCTCTTTCCTAGTATATCACAGGCTTCTCTCAGAAGCCTAAGAAAGTAAAACTCTAGCAAACCCCCATCCACACCCTCTGGTCCAAGCAAGATTGGGGTTCAGATACTCCCTTGCAAGGCCCAGGCTAAGGACTGCCTGGTGGCCTTGGCATAGTGGCATCACTGGACGCAGGACCCTATGCGAGCCTCAATCTGTCCTCTTACCAGTTGTGATCACCTGGTCCACAGGTCCATGAGAAGTCTACCAAGGGGAGAGAAGAGGACATAGCCTCCCCCAACAGACATACACAATAGCATGTGTCAGGGGTGCTGCTTGGCAACTGGACAGAGGCCAGGCCCCTGCTCTACAGAAAAAGGCCAGAGGGAAGGGGCTATGCTCAGGGCATGTGGGCATCATGCTCCATGCAAACATCCCAGAGCACTAGTTAGCATTCTGCCTGCTCCCCTGCCATCCTCAGGAGAAAAGCCCTCACCCCAGCAGATGCCACTCAAACAGGCAAGAGAAAGAACTGGAAAGTTCCGTCCCTAGCCCTATCTCATTTCAGATTTAGAAATAGAGAAAGGCAAGATCTGTAGTTTGTCATTGTTACTGACATCCTGGGCCTGACTCTGGTGTCTGCTGAAATTTGAACTCAGCCGCCTGGATCTGAAACATCACACCTCTCATTCAGGGGCTAGGAAGAGGCGCTCAGACAATGGAACCCAAGTAGCTTCAGGTCAAACTGCTTTGCACCAGCAAGGGGTTAATAGGCAGTCATGGGTGGTCACACAAGCATAGCCCACTTTGGGCAGCTCAAGTCCCACAGTCTTGGAAATCAAAAATAAAGCTCTCAAGCTGGGATGAATCAAATCACTGGATCAACAGGCATTTGCGTGCATGCATGTTCATGTGTGTGCACGCACATACTAGACTCAAGCCCAGGGACAGGATTCAGGAGAGCCAGGAAAACTTCACAAATATTCTTTTTAAAATTCTACCCTATCAGCTTGTCACTGAAATCTGAAATTCTACCTTTACCAAATCGTTATTTAGCTAAGGACTCTCTTCTACCCGAGTTTTGTTTTGTTTTTTTGAGACAGAGTCTTTCTCTGTCACCCAGGCTGGAGTGCAGTGGCACAATCTCGGCTCACTGCAACCTCCACCTCCTGGGTTCAAGCAATTCTCCTGCCTAAGCCTCCCAAGTAGCTGGGATTACAGGCACCCGCCACCACACCTGGCTAATTTTTGTATTTTTAGTAGAGACAGGGTTTCACCATGTTGGCCAGCCTGGTCTCAAACTGCTGACCTCAAGTGATCCGCCCACCTCGGCCTCCCAAAGTGCTGGGATTACAGGTGTGAGCCACCACACCCAACGTGAGTTTTGTTTTAAAATGAAAATGCTGCAGGACAAGGAATTGTTCAGATCTTTCCTTCTAGGTGATCACCCTTAGAGTCTTGGGAGTAAGGGGGAAGTTAGGGTTAAATATAAATAAAATGATGCTGGAAGGATGATAGAAGTTCAGGGCAACAAACTGTAGCATAGGGGAAGCTCTCTGTATATACCTGAGGGGCCCATCAATGAGAAAGAAAACCTTTGACACTTCTCACAATCATTCAATGATTTAATCCAAACTCTCATGTTAAAAGCTCACTAAGATGCAGTTTTCAACATGGAAAATTCAATTTTCTATTGACCCCCTGGGGACCAATATCAGAAAGTTTCCTTTTATTACCAAGTTGAACCACCCATTCTAAATTGGTAGCTATCATTCATAAATATGCTACCTTAACATGGGAAAGAGGCTATTGTGAGACAAGATAGAAATCAGAGGCAGAATTCAAACTAAAATCTACTATTCATTCTTTTCCCCTGAGTCTTTGGGTGGAGACCTGAAGTGAACACCCAAAAGCTTTGGGGCCAGGACTCCATCCAACTTCTGCTCTTGAGTTATTAGCTGTTTGCCCCTGGGCAAGTTGCCTCACCTCTCTGTATCTGTTTCCTCACCTGTTGGACCAGACCCATGGTTTTCAAACTGTGTTCCCTGGTGCTCTGAGACTCTGAGATGCCTCCAGGGAAGGGGAAAGCCCACACTGGCAAGGCTAACACAACCCACCATATACCCACCCCACCACCCACAGCACCCCCCCCCACCTCCATGTCTCATATGTTGGGAACCTGTGCGAGTTCAATCTGAAAAAAAAAAGGTTCTTGTGACTAAAAAGAACATGTGGAAGGTTTTGAATTAGATGCATTCCAGGTTCCTTCTAAAGCTAACTCTCTACGATTCACTCCGCTGCCTCATTTGGGAGCATTCTGGCTCAGTGTAGCTGAGGGAGCCCGGCAATCACCGGCTACTGGTGATGGAAGCGGAGCTCACCTGTGATTCGGCCCACCGTTCCTTTCACGAAGTTGCCAGCATACCCAGCCACATGAGCTCCAAGGCTGTAGCCGATCAAGTGGACATTCCCGAGAGAAAAATCATCTTTCTCCTGCAGAAAGTCACCAAAGTATGTGAGCAGAAGAGCAGGGTCGGGAGATCCAGAGTCACCAGCAATTCAACAACTCAATCACGGTGTAGGAGGAGATGCAGGGGCTGTGGGCACAGAGACTCCCCAGGGCCCCACTGGCTTTGCTGGTGATGCCCCATGTGTGGGTCACAGTCAGTTTAGGGGAGGCCAAAAGGACACGGTGGCACTGAAAATGCCAAGCACAGGGGCAGGGTGGAGGGTATGACTGGAGGCTGCGTATGTGGCTGTTCCCTACATGTTTCCTGTTCTTTCCGGCAGTATCTAAGAGAGGGGAGCGTGGTGGTGAAGAGGCGGGGCGCAGTGGCTCATGCCTGTAATCCCATCACTTTGGGAAGCTAGGCGGGTCGGATCATGAGGTCAGGAGATCGAGACCATCCTGGCTAACACAGTGAAATCCCGTCTCTACTAAAAATACAAAAAATTAGCCGGGCGTGGTGGCGGGCGCCTGTAGTCCCAGCTACTCGGGAGGCTGAGGCAGGAGAATCACTTAAACCCGGGAAGTGGAGGTTGCAGTGAACCGAGATTTAAAAAAGAGATATTAGGCTGCATCTTTGAAATAACCCCCTCCCCACCCTCAACACAGCCATGCTTCAGAGACAAAAGCAGGCTCTGTAGGAATTTCAGATCACAAGCTTGGCCTGGTTCCTGGCCATCCCCAACCAGCCTAAGGGTATCTGTTTCTAAGACGGGAAGGAACAACCCATAAGGCCAATTTTCTGCAAATTAAGTATCAGGAAAAATCCAGAGATCTATCAATAATTAAAAGGCTCTCGAAAAGTCCCAGCTTTCAAGTATTCCAAGCAATACTTAATTCAATAAAACTTATAATCTCAAAGATTTTTATCAGACTCCAGAAGTTCATGACAACAGATGCATGACCTGTATTTCTTAAGAAGATTGGGGTGAGATCCTGCTGGCAACAGGAGACTCCTTGTCATCCCCCAGTACCTGCAGCCAGTCGAGCATCCTGGCAATGCTGTGTCCCACCACCCTGGTGTTATTGACCGCATCCGTGTAAAGCTGGTGGGCCAGGGGGAGCCAGTCAACCACAACTACATTGGCATCTTTCTCTCTTGTGTGCAGGGCTGACACGAGTTTGTGCAGCCAGTTTTCAAAGATACCGCTCATCTGCAGAGAAAAGTGGAAGTTATTTTTTATTCTTGGTTTCAGAAATCCTAAAAAATATGAAATTCCATTCTATATGACCCTCTTTCCAACCGATTTTTTTTTTTTTTTTTTTTTTTTTGACTCAGGGTCTCACTGTTGCCCAGGCTGGAGTGCACTGACAACCATCTCAGCTCAAGATAGCCTCGAATTCCTAAGCTGAGGTCATCCTCCTCCCACCTCAGCCTCCAGAGTAACTGGGGCTACAGGCACACGCCACCATGCCTGGGTAATTCTTAAATTTTTTGCAGCAACAGGGTCTCACTATGTTGCCCAGGCTGGTCTTGAACTCCTGGGCTCAAGCGATCCTCCCACCTAGGCCTTCCTGAGTGCTGGGATTACAGGCATGAGCCACCATGCCCAGTGCCCCCAGACAATTTTAGAGCCTGCACATTGGCTGCTCAGGGACCAGACATTTTCACATGAGCAGGACCAGCACAGGCAGAATCACTGTGCAGGTATTTGTCTTCCGTTGCTCTTCACATCCCCAGTATTTCCCATCAAAACTTTCCTAGCTAATGTCCTATGCTGTTGCCCCACTGTCTGTTGGGGCCACTGTGAGATATGCGTTAAGGGTGATACTGGCGTGAGGCTGGTCTGAGTCCCTGTTACAGGCAGGCAAGTGGCCTGGTCCATCCTTCAAAGGCAGTGGGGAGGGTTGTCCTGGAGAATTAGCTTCTCTCTTAGAGATGCAGGGAGATGCTGTCTCCTAGGTGAATGCCGAGTTAACAAATGACCCCTTCCCACAACCCATCTCTGCCATCCTTCCTGACCCCAGAGTAGGGAAAATCTGTCCCCGGAATCCCAAATTACAACTCAGAACATATTTTCCCACAGAAACAAAGTTATAAATGGCGACTAGGTCCAGTTGTAAACCTATCCACAAGCACATTATCAAATAAATAGATTTTCTGTGCCTAGCCTGGGAACCCAAACACCATTTACAATCTTGCTTCTATGGGAAACTGCTGTTCCAAGTTCCAAACAGATTACAAAAGAACTTTCTGGAATGCAACCCATTTGTAAGTCGCAGGCAGCTTGTATTTGCATTTTGACAGGGTGCCTTAAAAAGATTCAAACATATGATTCTGATTGTAGGTTGTGTGATGAGCACGGTTAGACAGGCTCTTAATCATCTCTTCATTCAACTAGGTAGGCAGACACCTGCCCTCTCCTACCCCTGACCTCAACCGTGGATGACAGACTTAAAGACCCCAAAAGCATGTAACAGATACGAATTTCTCATCATTAAGAGGAGGACTGTCCCCTTCCAATTAGCCCAGGCAGAAATCTGCTCACTTCATAGTGCCATTTCCCTACAGACTGTCATTATATGAATGAATAAATCCCTGGCTGGTCAAAAGCTTCTGAAGCTGAGCACTAAAGCCCTTTTTTGTTGAAGTTTGTCATGAGCTTTTCAATGTGAATTGCTCAGCTAGAGCACATAAAGAGCCCCAGTGCCTTTAAACGGGGCTATCTCTATGCAAACAGGAGGGCATCATGCCAAGGGCAGCCGGCAATCCAGGCCAGCTGGCTACTCATAGGTTCTCGGAGCCAGTCAAGTTGCTTTAGCCAAGCTCAGCTCTCACGGCAGGACAGCCCCCTCCAGGCAGTGGTTGACCAGCGTAATTAAGTGTAATTAGAGGGGTCCTTAAGAGCCAGTGGAGCTGGGCTGCTGCCCTCAGGAGAGCCACTTTCTGAAAGGCCGTTGTATGCCAGCATTAATGCCACCCTGCTGGAGTCCAGATTGCCCCTTAGTGAATGCCCGTTACATTCTTCACAGCTGTCTGAAATACAAGCAGCCCACAAGGAAAGGGGGGAAGAGGGTTTGGAATCTGGAAACACCAGAATTCTTTCTAATTGACCAAAACAAAGGGAATCAAGTCTTGTATAAAGCCACAGAGCTCCCTCCCCGGGCTCACCGTCCATCCGTGAATGATGAAAAAGGTTTTAGCTGTCATGTTGAAACCGCAGTCTTCTAAGGGCTGGCTGTGACTGAGGGAGAGGTAGCATCCTTCATGCTCTGGGTCCTTGGAGGTGCGGAGGTTAAACCTCACAGAGGGTTTGACCTCAGTCTGTATAGCTTTGGGTTTGTGGAGCTCATCTGGGGAAACAGAACAGAGCATAGGTGCATCTAGCAGACTGGGGGAGTGAGAGACCTGGAGTCTGATTCTAGTTCAATCGTGAGCAAATTGCTTAAGCCATCTGGGTTTCACTTTTTACATCTGCTGAACGTTCCCTTTTCACCTCCCAGAAAAACTGTGAAGATTTTATAAAAAAGGACATCTCATTTATACTTAAAGAGTATTAATTAGTCACTAGTATTAATTACTGTCACTCTGAAATAAATAGATCTCTCTCTGGCTTTTCCCTCTTCTTTCCTATCAAAAGGAGTTCTACTTCCTTCCTACTTTTTAGATCACAGGTTCTCAATTCTTTTTCTGAAATGCTTGAAACCAGGTGAGTTTCAGAATTTAGAAGTTTTCAGATTTTAGAAAGGCATTATGGAGCATACACCATACATTATATGATGCTTTCAGTAGGGCCTGGGCTATTCCCCCTGGATCAAACACCCTAAAATTTCTGCAGAGAAATACATAACCACTCATATTTGAGGGCAAACATAAAGATAACCAATAGCCTCCTGTTATCTCAGGCTTTTTGCTGCCAAATAAGTTCAGATCAGGTAAGGCCAGGTCTTGCTGCCAAACAAGTTACCAAATGCATTTTCCAATTCTGAGAGATTGTGGATTTTGGAATTGGAGGCAAGAGGCTGTTGACCTGCTGGAAAATAGGCTTCCCCTAGTGTTCCTATCTAGGGAACCTCAGGCATCCTCAGTGCCCTTTCTAATGGTGGCATGTGCCAGGCATTCATCTGGTTTGTTAAGTAAATGACTAAAGCCATGGAGAAACTCCTAAAAGCAACAAAAATCCCCCCTCCCAGCTTTACTGCTCATGCACAGTGCCACCTCGGAGACAGCCCTGCTCCCAAAGTGCAGCTCATGTCACTGATGGCCCCCGTGGCTTAACACTAGGTAGGTGCTGTCATCATGACACTGTTTCATAAAGTCATAAATGGACCCCACCCAGTGCTCTTTCAGCCATCCGGGGATGCATCACTGGATAACTGGCTAGGACGTTAGAGTATCAAATTCTCCTATCACCCAGCAGGGAAAGATGCCAAATGGTCATCTTGGAGTTAATTTATCTCAGAGTTAAGAAGCAAAAGGAAAAAGATACCAAAAGGAAAGAGATGCAGCAGTGGAGAGGGTGGAGGGAAAGCGGAGGGGGGGGGGAGAATGCAGCAGATATAAGAGGGATAAGGTTCCAGAAAATGCTGCTAAATGCACATGAGCGGAAATCAGGTTAACTGTCATGAAAGTAATGAACAAAAGCCCCAACCAGCAGAAATTTGAACCACGGACATAATGAGTTCAGCAACTCCCCACCTTCTACCCAGATAGCCACTCACGCAGAGGCCAGATGGGGAAATCTAGGAGAAAAGAAGGCTCCTGGTTTCCTGAGACAGATCTGCGGATAAACCCACATATGGACAAAGACTCTTCCTCTTAGCATCTGACCGCTCTGACCCCAAAGTTCTCTAGCTGCATTCCTACTACTTTTGGCCTGGGTGACTTCAGCCTCTGGGACTTTCTGATTGTTCCTCACCCAGATGTCCTCATGGCTCCTTCTCTCACCCCCTTTAGCTCTTTGGTCAATGGTTAGCTTCTCCAGAAAGGCCTTCCCTGACCACATCATAAAATCGTGCCACCTCTGCTTGATTTTTCTCCATAATACTGAGCACCACTGGTATTTTAATCAGTGCACTGTCTGTCTTCCCACCACTGAAATGTAAGTGTCACGAGGGCAGAGATTGCCATCTATTTTGTCCACTGCTCTCTCCCCTGCTCCCAGAATCGTGTCTGACACTAAGTAGGTATGCAGTAAATACTTTTTGGAATGGAGGAAATGACTCACACATACTCAGAGGCCCAGAACACAGAAGTTAAAAGCAACTTTAGCATTTTACAGGTGAGGAGCCAGAGATGAGACCTGCCCCCAGACAATGCTTCTAGTTAGCACCAGAGTTGGAAACATGTTGAGTAAAGCAAAGCTTTCCATTCATTCACAGTAACCCTCCCACACATACATAAGTGGACACAGACCATTTGGCACAACCTCAGCAGACTAGAAAATGAGATGATGGGGTTCAGTTTAGGGGCTCCCTAGCCCTCCACTGCTTAATCAGCTGACTTAGTTCTCACTCTGACTCTGACTCCCCCAGAGCTGACTGACTCTGGCTCCCCTAGGGCAAGCTGCCACTGGAAAAGGCTGCCACAGAGAACCCAAAAGGAAGAAAAGCTAAATGCCAGGAGGAGGAAAGGGAGGAAAAGTGGGAAGAGGAAGAGTCCGGGGAGCACAAGAGTGTTGAAGAGGAAAAGGCTGGCAACCTGGGGGAATAGGCCCTGCAGCTTCTAAGCACAAGTTCCCACCAGATACTCCCTGCAAGCACGAATCAAGCCAAAGCCAGCTACCCTGCCACCTGAACTTTCAAGACACCTACAACAAGATTGAAAGGCAGCTCCAGCAGACAGAGCTCTAACAACCTTCTTGCCTCTCAAACCGCCAGGTTCAAGCATGAGGACAAGGTTTCAGAGCTGCTGCCAGGCCGGTCGGCTGGCTGGACAGCACCAGCACAGTCAGAGGGAAGGAGGTGGGGGTGAGAGGGCTGGCAAAAGCCAGCGCAGCCTGCCAGCCTTTGCCTTTTGCATGACTTGCCGGGGATGCTCCCATCAGACACGCAGAGAAACAAGTGGACTCCAAGGTGGACTGGAGAAGAAAATGGGCAGCACAGTGGGAAAGGAAGAATTTCATAGGAACGAGGAGGGATTGAAGAATCAGCAAGACAGAGGGGACCCAGCACAGAGAAGTGACTGGGGGGAATAAAAATAAATGCACGTTACCTTCCAGCTGTCCCTCTGGACCAAAAGGTGTGGGGCTCCCAGCAGCAAAGCAACAGCAAAGGCTCCAGAAACAGAGCAGAGGAACGGAGTTGCTCATCCTGCCCCGCCACACCCCCTCCCCAGAAACAGGAGTTTTAAAAACAAAAACCACCTCTCAGTGTTTCCAGCAATCCGGGACGGTAAGACCCTTCTCTCGGCCAGGGGCTGGGGGGCTGGACGCGGAGAAGGTGGAAAATGAAAACTTGGCGGCACGGAGCCGCGGGCGGTGGCAGGGAGCGAATGTGAACCGCCTGCACCAGAACCAGATCTGCCCTCGTCCTGAGCCGCCGGGAAGCAAGGGCTCGCTGCTGTCACGCTCCTACAGAGGTAGTTTTTAAAAGTATGGGAGTCATCTGACCCATCGCCAGATGGTGATTTGCATAATTTATTCCCGTCTCTGGATTCTGATTGGTCACACCTTGCTGACGCCGGAACCAAGACTGGAGAAAGTTTGAATGAAAGCGCTGCACACTCAGCGCGTGGACTCCGCACGCTCGGCCCCGCTTCCTCCCCGGCCCGCTCAGCCGGCAGCTGCGACTCCAGCAGCCCCAGCTTTCTCCCACTGCCCTCCCCCGGACCTCCAGATCCTCCTCTCGCCCCTGCCACCCCAAGTGGCGGAGGCGGACATTTCCCCGAAACCCTGCGTCCGCTGGGGACGCGATCCCTGGAGAAGGAGAGCACCCTCTCCAAGGCGCAAAGCCACACTCTGGGAGTGGTCTACCCGCTCTCTGGGCCGGGAGTCCGTCAAAGGAGAGCCACCTGCTCATCCCCTTGGTCCTCCTCTTCTCCCTCCCCTCCCGCCTAGCGAAGGCCGCAACAGGTGCAGAAGGAGCGACCGCACAATAACCCGGCGGAGCTAAGGGGCTGTGAGCTGTGGCCGGCGCTGGAGGATCGCACAGTACCTGCTCGGAATCCTGGCTCCGCCACTAGCTGCAAAACTCCAGGCGAGCCAGCCAGCTTCTCCGAGGCGGTTCCCTCGTCCGCAATACGTGGGTGATAACGTATCCGCGACTTACGGATGTTGGGAAAACTAAGAGTTCACGTAGCAAATCACTTAGCGCGGCGCGGAGCTCGTGGCAGGCACTCTCCTACGGTGGGGTGGAGGGCTGCGGGAACCCCAGGCGACCTCCTCAAAGGGACCAGCGAGCCGAGATTTGGTGTCTAAGACGCGTGACCAGCGCCCGGTGTCTGCCGGTGAGCACTAACTGCTTGGTGAGCGAAATCAAGCACCTCCTTTCTCTCTGTTCTCCATCATTTCCTCCCGGCTCTCCTTCCCTTTATTGATCCGGGTCCTGGGGCAGAAAGCAGCGAGCGGAAGGAGAACTTGGCCCAGAGTGCGTCTGGCGCTGGGGAGCGGGGACTGAGCCCGGAACACCCGCGGGGCTGCTGCGCCAACAGCCACTGCGGACGCAGGGCGGGTGCGAGAGGCTGAGAGGCTGCGCCCAGCCATCCAGCCTCGCTCCAGCCAGGAGGAGCCGGCTCTTCAAGGCGATACCCTTGACCGCGAGTAACCCTGCAGTCACCCGGAACAGGTCCTGCTCCTGCCTGGGGAGGGAAAAGCCCCGCAGCAGCTCCGCGCCCCTTCCTCCCTATTGTCGTGGCTCCAGCTGGAGGGACCTGTGTGAGGAAACCGAGCCGGAGCCAGCAGATCCTGTTCCTACCTCGCCTCGTTACTTTTGTTACTCCAGCTGCCAGCAGAGCACGCTTTGTCCCTCCCGTGTGCAATCATTCATTAACAAGACGCAGGCTGGCTTTAGTTTTTGAGTATGGAATTCAATGGTCTGTATGCGATGGTAAATGTCACTCCCAGCTATGTTGTTCCCACTCTCTCTCTTCATGAGCAAACTACACAGACAGGTCTAATGTTATCTCCATTTTACAGACGGGAAAACTGAGTCATGGGGACAGGCTGCAGATCTGAAGAAAGTCTCAAGACAACCAGGTCTCTCTTCTCTGCTCTAGGTTCAATTTGGCCAACTGACCTTTAAATGTGAGCCCTTGGCAACCCGGTCTTGTGGCTGAGGCAGCGGGTAAGCTATAGTCAAAAATCTTCTTCCCTAACCCTGGCAACATAGACACCCATCTCTACCAAAAAAAATTTTTTAATTAGCCTGGCACCGTGGTACTCCTGTGGTGCAAGCTATTAATACTTGGAAGGCTGAGGTGGAAGGAGTCCTTGAGCCCAGGAGTTCAGGGCTGCAATGTGCCATGATCACACCACTACACTCCAGCCTGGACAACAGAAGAAAAAAACTCCTTCCCTGTTCTGAGTTGCTCACAGACACGGTCCCTAGAACATTAACTGGATAATGTGGAGGGTGTGTCTTGAGAGCTTTTGTCATAGGTGAGATACCCCCACGGAAGCCAGGGTATTTTGCAGGGTATTGTTGGAAGGTAGTCCTGCAAAGTTAGTTATCCTGCCTAGAAAAAAAAAGAAAAACCTGGCCGGGCGCGGTGGCTCACACCTGTAATCCCAACACTTTGGGAGGCCGAGGCAGGCGGATCACCTGAGGTCAGAAGTTCGAGACCAGCCTGACCAACATGGAGAAACCCCGTCTCTACTAAAAATACAAAAAACTTAGCCGGGCGTGGTGGTGCATCCCTATAATCCCAGCTACTCGGGAGGCTGAGGCAGGAGAATGGTGTGAACCTGGGAGGCGGAGGTTGTGGTGAGCCAAGATCACGCCATTGCACTCCAGCCTGGGCAACAAGAGTGAAACTCCGTCTCAAATAAATAAATAAATAAATTGAAAGAAAGAAAGAAAAACCTGTGTTTTACAGGTTCGACAAATCAACATCCATTTTTTAACGGCCAAGACTGTGAAACCATTTATGTTTTATTGCTAGTTGGTTAGAGTGCCCTCCTGTGTCTCTACACTAAAATATCATGCAAGAACTTTGAAAGGACATCATGAATTTGTAATTGTAGCATTAGAATGCATGACATCAACTGTTCTGCTTCATACTTCCCAGAAGAACAAGGAGATCTGAAGAGCCTCTCGCCTGGAGGAGTTCCAGCTGAGGAGTCTTGGTGGAACTTCAGCTGTGTTGCAGACAAAATTTCAAGGTGTCAGGCAACACAAAGAAAGGGTTCCAGTCCTTATTTGGCAGCCCAGCATCTAAAGACCCTTCCTGTGTTAAAGGAATAAATCTTCTGCTTATGATAACACCCCACTTTCCACTAAAAATAGCTCAAAAGCAATTGCTCACCTTCCCAACCTCCCTGGCAGCTAGTCCCCGATTCAAACTCAACTGAACTCTGAACTAGAAGCTAATGAGGCTGGAAGCACATACTCAGTCTGCCAGTGGGCAGCCAACTCTGGTTCTCTGGTGCAGCAGTGGAGTCACCCCCAGACTAGTCTGCAGTGGGATTTGGGACATTGCTGTCTGCCTGAGTATATCCTCCAAGCCTGGTTCTTCTGCCCTGCAGAGATTCCAGTTGTTACCCAATATTATCTTAATGAGGTCCTCTTTTACATACATTATCCAGAGACTGTTTATATTCTTACAAGTAAGAAAATGACTTAATTACCAGAAACTTATTGAGCAGCTGCTAGGGAGGAAACACTGGCTTGGAGACCATGCCTGTGCTCTCACAGACACAGTGCAGAAAGTTACAAGTGCCAGAAGGCGGGCTAGTATGTAGGAGTTCCCAGATACCTGGACCAATGCTGTCCAACAGAAATATATAACACAACCCGCATGTCTTGGTCAGTTTGGGCTGCCAGAACAGAATACCATAGACTTAGTGGTTTTAAACAACAGAAACTTATTTTCTCATAGTTCTGGAGACTAGAAGTCCAAGATCATGATATTGGCATAGTCGGTTTCTGGTGAGGGCCCTCTTTCTGGCTTATAGATGGCTGCCTTCTCACTGTGTCCTCATGTGGCAGAGAGAGAGAGAGAATGCTGATGTCTCTTCCAGTAACAACTCTAATCCCATCATGGTGCCTCATCTCAAAACCTCATCTAGACCTAATGATCTCCCCCAGGGCCCATCTTCAAATACATCATGGGGAGTTAGAGCTTCAACATAGGAATTTGAGGGGGTCCCAATTCAGGCCCTAGCAGCACATATATAATTTTATGTTTCCTAGTAACCCTATTATAAAGGTAAAAAGAAACACATGAAATTAAAATTAAGTGGCTGGGTGCGCCTGTAATCCTGGCACTTTGGGAGGTCAAAGTGGGAGGATGGCTTGAGGCTAGGCGTTTGAGACCAGCTAGGGCAACATAAGGAGACCTCATCTCTACCCAAATAAATAAGTAAAAACATTTTTTAAAAGAAATTAATATATTTCACTTAACCCAACATATCCAAATATTGTCATTTCAACATGTTGCCAATATAAAAAAAATTATTGAGATATTTTACATTTTTGTTTTGAAATCCAGTGTGTATTTTACACTTATGGCACACGTCAGTTCTGACTAGCCATATTCAAGGGCTCAATAGCCACATGTAGCTGGTTGCTACCATATTGGACAGCATAGATCTATAGTATTAAAACTAAAATAAACCTTGGAGATCATTTAGTACAACTGTCTCACTTTACAGATCATGATCCCAAGACCCAGCCAGATTAACTGACTTGCTCAAGGTCACACAGTTGGTAAAAAGGCAGAGATGGAACACAAACTTGGGTTACTAATTCCTTTTTTTTTTTTTTTTTTTTTTTTCTTTTTTTGAGACAGCATCTCACTCTGTCACTCAGACTGGAGTGCAATGACAAAATTATGGCTCACTGCAGCCTCAAATTCCTGAGCTCAAGTGATCTTCCACCTTAGCCTCCCAAGCTGCTAGACTACAAGTGCCTGCCACCATGCCCAGCTATTTATTTTCTTTTTTCTTTTTTTTTTTTTTTTTTTTTGAGAGGAAGTCTTGCTCTGTCCCCCAGGCTAGAGTGCAGTGGCAAGATCTCAGCTCACTGCAACCTCCACCTCCAGGGTCCAAGAGATTCTCCTGCCTCAGCCTCCCAAGTAGGTGGGATTACAGGCACACACTAACATACCAAGCTAATTTTTGTATTTTTAGTAGAGACGGGATTTCACCGTGTTGGCCAGACTGGTGTCGAACTCCTGACCTCAGGTGATCTACCTGCCTCGGCCTCTCAAAGAGTTGGAATTACAGGCGTGAGCCGCCGCACCTGACCTTATTTTCTTTCATGTTTTTTGTAGAGACAGGGTCTCGCTGTGTTGCCCAGGCTGTTCTCAAACTCCTGGGCAAGCGATCCTCCTGACTGGGCCTCCCAAAGCGCTGGGATTACAGGTGTAAGCCATGGCACCCAGCCTCTAATTCCAAGATGAGTGCTTTTCCCATGGCCTCTCCCCATTCAAAGACAGAAGAGATGATGAACGACTGAGAGGACCAGCCTTAGTGGAGGACCTGAAATAAAGACATACCATTGCCTGAAAAAAAGAACACAAACATGACCCCTTCAAATACTCACTAAACACCTAACACATTCCTGCCATTGTGCTAGGTGCTGTAGAAACTCAAAAAGAAATGACAAATATAAATGAATACACAGTTTACTCACGCTCTGAATTCCAAGTGCAGAGAAGAGAAAAAGTGTTAAGTGAAGCAAATTGATAAGACAGACCATTAGATGAAGGTAAGACTTGGGAAGACCTTAAAGGATGAAAAGCCCTTACTTTTTGACTCTTGGCTAGCACTTGGATTCTCTTGCGTCATTTGCCGCCTACAAAGTTTAGAAAGGGAATGCCAAGTTTCCACCAGGCAGCATCTCTATGCTTACCTGGTCTTAGGTCTGGATAACATATAGCCTCGCTATCCCCTCAATAAGTTGAGAGGCCTGAAACCTCCAACTGCTTAAGGGTTTTGGGCGGGGGGGAGTTCTGGGTTTTTTGTTTGTTTGTTTGTTTGTTTTTGAGACAGCATCTTGTTCTATCTCCCAGGCTGAAGTACAGTGGCTTGATCATAGCTCACTGCAGCCTTGAACTTCTGAGCTCAGGCATTCCTCCCACCTCAGCTTCCCAAGTAGCTGGAACCATAGGTGCATGCTGCTGCACCCAGCTAATTTTTTTGTTTTGTTTTTTATAGAGACAGAGTCTCACTATGTTGTCCAGGCTAGTCTTGAACTCCTGGCCTCCAGCCATCCTCCTGTCTCAGCCTCCCCAGTATCTGAGACTACAAGCGTGAGCCACCGTAACCGGCTCTTGCTTAAGTTTATATTAGCAGCAAGACTTCTTCTACTTGTAGTCAACTAGAGCAGCATTTCCCAATGTGTGACCCTAGGACGTTGTTAGGTGTTACATGGAATAAAAGTGGGAACACTGAGTTAGACAAGCAAGAATGGGCTTTTTCACTGCAGAACTTCTCAGGAGTTTTTTTTTTTTTTGAGATGGAGTCTCGCTCTGTCGCTCAGGCTGGAGTGCAGTGGTGCGATCTCGGCTCACTGCAAGCTCCACCTCCTGGGTTCACCCCATTCTCCTGCCTCAGCCTCCCAAGAAGCTGGGACTACAGGCACCCATCACCATGCCCAGCTAATTTTTTTGTATTTTTAGTAGAGACGGGGTTTCACCGTGTTAGCCAGGATGGTCTCAACCTCCTGACCTCGTGATCCGCCTGCCTTGGCCTCCCAAAGTGCTGGGATTACAGGTGTGAGCCACCGCGCCCGGCCTTCTCAGGACTTTTAATATGTTT